ACGAACGAGGTATCGATCGATATGAGTCGACAAAATTCTATGACTTCCGATATGGTCGATAGCATCTCTTTAAGCAACTTAGATCCTGCTTTAACTGGTTCAACAGCCGATTTAGGTGAACAGGGTATAGAAATCGGTATCGTTCGGCAATTTCCTTTCACGTCTAGTCTTCAAAGGATGAGCGTAATCACCAGAACATTGGGAGCTAATCACTATGATCTTTATTGCAAAGGAAGCCCTGAAATGATCCTCAGTTTGTCCAAACCAGAATCCAGTAAGTCCAATGCTTTTATCAGCGATTTTATTTCATTTTCTTTTATGATTTTTTGTTTTATTAACAAATATAATTCATTTATAGTTCCGCTCGATTTTGCGAACGTCCTTCAAGAATACACATCAGAAGGTTATCGCGTAATAGCTATGGCACATAAATCCTTATACCGTCTTCCTTATGCCAAAGTGCAACGGATGAGTCGTGAATCTGCCGAAATTGACTTAACTTTCTTGGCATTCGTGATAATGGAAAATCGTTTGAAGCCGGAAACTACACCTGTAATCACAGCTTTGAATACTGCTTGCCTCAAAACTGTCATGGTTACAGGAGATAACATGCTAACAGCATTGTCTGTGGCCAGAGATTGTGATATAGTTAAACAAGGAACACCTGTTATCGTAGTGGCAGCGATCACTCAACAGAATCAAATTAAACCACAAATCTATTTCACTAAAAGTAATAGCCAAGTATCGCCGATATCACCTGTTGGTCAAGGTGATTTCAGTGAAATGACGGATCTCAATAGTGTAGTCAGTTTGGAAACTGTGGAAAGTGGATCCTTTGGAAATAATGTTTTAGAAAACGATGTCAATTATTTATCGGATAAGTGAGTAAATCAATTGTGAATAATTTATTTCTCAAATCGTAAATTTACGATTAACATATTATATTCGTATTTCAGTATGCAACGAACGCGAAACAATTACGTTTTTGCTCTGACTGGCAAAACGTGGGCATTGGTGAAACAATATTATCCCGAACTTATTCCCAAATTGGCTACAAGAGGTGCCGTTTTTGCTAGAATGTCACCGGATCAGAAGCAACACCTCGTTCAAGAATTACAGGCTCTTGGATATTACGTCGGTGTGTATTGGAATTAAAAAAAAAAAAAAAATTTTTTTTGAAACAATTGAATTTAATCTTGTAGTATAATTTGATGTTTGATTTTTTTTTCATTTTTTTTTTCTTTTTGTTTTTACAGCTATGGTGGGTGATGGTGCTAATGATTGCGGTGCGTTGAAAGCAGCTCATACAGGAATTTCTTTGTCAGACACCGAATCTTCCGTAGCTTCGCCATTCACCAGTCGTGAAACAAATATTTCATCACTTCTTACGGTAATTCGCGAAGGTCGTGCCGCACTGGTAACATCATTTGGAAACTTCAAATACATGGCTGCGTATTCGTTGACACAATTCATCTCTGTGATGCTACTTTATAGCATCGAATCAAATTTGACTGATATTGAATTTCTTTATATCGATCTCTTCATTATTTCGATATTCGCTTTCTTCTTTAGCCGAACGGAAGCGTACGACGGTCCATTAGTGAAAACAGCACCTTTGAATAGTCTTATTAGTACGACGCCGGTTCTTAGTTTATTCACGCAAATCTTAATCGTAGGAATCTTTCAATATGCAAGTTTTTGGCATCTCCAACAAATGGATTGGTACGTACCCTTCAATACAACCGTTCGATCGGTTGAAGATAAGGACAATGTTGGATGTTTAGAAAATTACACCATATTCATTATCAGTTCAATGCAATACATCATTCTAGCCGTAGCTTTCTCGAAAGGTCGGCCTTATAGAAAATCAATCTTCACGAATTACGGTCTTTTGAGTTCTTTCGTTTTATTAAGTCTCATTTCTATCTATCTCGCTCTCTACCCTTTCAAATGGCTTGCCAACTGGTTCGAGCTCGTACTTCCCGATGACATAAAGTTCCGTTTTGTTCTGGTAGCTTACGGTATTGCCAATTTCTTAATCTCTTTGTTGGTGGAATACTTTTTCGTCGATTATTTGGTATTCAGTAAATTACGTTATCGTTGGCACAATATCGACAAGTCTAGACGAAAATTCTTAGCGATCGATCGTGATCTAGCAAGAGATTTGAAATGGCCACCAATATCTCAAGAACCATTACCGGAAGCAGCACCAGACATTCTTATTCGTCAGAACGTTACCGAAATTAAAATCGAAAAACGAGTACCCGAACCTTGCCGACCAGTCGACACAAGCTTCATGAACAGTCCAATCTGTAATAATATTAAACAATTCGGATCTGCTCGAGAAGTGACCTTAAATCCTAGATCTCTCTTCAATGATCGTAGGAATACCGTGTCGATGCAAACGGTACCATGTTTTGAAGGAAAGGAATCAATGAAACAATCTAAAGTAGAATTGATGACTAAGAGAAGACACAATTCTGAATCAGAAAATGGTATTAATCAATATGACAAATCTTTTAGAATTCATAACACGAATCCGATTGCAACATTACCACGAAATCCTACGACGACATTGCAGCCGCAAAGATTAAGAGACTTCAAGGAAATTCTTGTTCACAAGAGCGAGGATGGTTTAGCACCCAGTACACAAAGCGTCCTCGAACTCGACATATTACCGTCCTGAGAATCGGCTCTTTTGAATGATCGATTATTGATCGCTGACACGAATCAGAAAGATTTTCTGTTAGGATCAGTCGATAAACACTGTCATATATTATGGAAATATTTTAACGCCGATGAAATTGAATTACTTTTATTCGTCGTACCTAGTGAATTATCAATCCTTCGAGGATCTCAAGTTAGTTGACAAACTTTTATCTTTAAAAAAATGTTAAAAAGGGTTCCGCTATGTTTCCTTCTATCGTAGTTTTTTTTTTTTTTTTTGTATTTTTTTGTTTTGTTTGTTCTTTTTTTTTCTCTCTTTTTAAGAAGTACGAATTCTCGTTCTAAGTATTATCAATTAAAGGACGGAAGAACGGTGCTTTCTTGTTTCGTCCAATCAGCAGAATGTACTTCTATGACCTTATGTGAGAAACTTAATTAACGTTTTTTTCGTGTGTTCAAAAATTCAATGATTATAATTAGTATCTATACATATATATATGTATATATATATATATATGTATTGTACGGTACTTTATGCAAAACTTTATTGCATGGTTTTAGTTACTTAATCCGATTTTAATAGAATACGAACTTTTAGTCTTGATAATATTATCGATTTGTAGTTTCCTTTTCTTTTTTTTATCGTCAAAGCACAGCCTAATTTGTTAATAAAAAATCGAAAGATATCGATCGATGGTAGAACGATCTCTTAGTATTCTTCAAGAATATGTAGAGTGTGTTTTTCTACACTGTGTGTGGTTATAGTAAGATTTTAAAGAATAAAAGCATTTATATAGGAACAATACGGTGTCCACGACAGCTTATAAACGACGATAAATCATTTTTTTAAAGATTTTTTTTCTTTTCTCTCTCTTTTTTTTATTTTTATTTTTGTTTTGTTTTTTTTTTTGTTTTTGTTTTGCTTGAGTGAAGAAAAAAAAAAAAGAACGAAACTCACGATATCGAGTGATAAGGGTCCCTTTTGACCCGACCTCTCTCTCTCTTCGTTCTCCTCTTCCTAACTACTAGTATTGAAACTTAGCCCTCTCAAGAGAAAGTATTATATCGTTATTTATTTTAAAGAAAAATAAACATTTTTGCTCGTCCACGAAGCTCGATCAAATAAATGGCCGGGTTTTTCTTAACGAAAAGCCAATTTAAGTCTTCGTTTTGTTTCGTACGTGAAAATCGTCAGTGTTCTTTGTGATTAGGATGTTGAGTTTAGTTTTAATTTGAAGAAAAAGAAAGAAGAGGAAAGAAAAGAAACGTTAAAAAATTTTCTTGAATTCTACAAATAATTCGAGATACTTAATAGCGTTTTAATATCTTCTCTTTTCTTATTGCGAATTTCGGGATGAGTCTTCGATGTATAATCTTATTAGAAATGAATTGATTTCGCATGTAATTATTAGCTAGATTTGAATTTAGGATCGAGACCAGTTATCAATTTCTCGTGATATAAATAATATATATTATATATATATATACACACATATACACATTTATGCTTTCCCGATAGCTTTGCATTTATTTGAAGATTCAACAATTCGATCTATCCAGTCATATTTTTTATTAACTTAAAATCGATAATAATTAATTCGAAAAGTTGAACGATTTCACGAGTTTTTTTATAACTGGTATCGTTTATCCTTAATGTATTATAATAGGTGATAATGATAAAACACGAAGAACCTCGTGCATAGAAGAAAAAAAAAAAAAGAAAAAAATAAATAAATAAATAAAAGAAAAAGAAAAACGACAATGATGGAATTGACCGACAAGCAAATAGTGAATCGTTCGTTGTCGCAATGCACTTAACATTAACGCGGTCAAGATAATAAATGTGTACTTATTCTAATGCAAACGAGATATAGAAATACTTAAAAACGCGTTGATTTATTTGCGACTCTATTATAGCTTGTGTTAAAAAAATAGTGGATGTCAAAATAAGGAACGATATGTTTTTAACGTACAAAAAGATTTATGCGTGTTTTATTCGTAATCTTCGTACCTCTCTGTTGCTTCCTTTCCAACTACATCCCACCCCCAATCTTGAAATTATGAGATTAATAATCAAATTATAAAATTAATCTTTGCGTAAGATATTTAATTGATTGGATATCAAAAAACAATAAAAATAAAAAGGAATATATATATATATATACACAAAAGAAAAAGAAGATTTATTAAGCGTTATTACAAAACAAATATCACACCCGTACAATTGATATAACGCGTAATCGAATAAACACGATTAATCTCGATTAATCTCGACTTCGAGTGCCTTCAAAAATTAACTTAAATTAATGCTGTGTTATTTATAACTCCTTCGAATATTTACAATAATTCTCGTTAAAAAAATGGCTGAGATTATAATCGTAAACATAAATCTCAACGCGTATCACGTAAAGGAAATAGATAATGGATCATTCCTATGAGTGTCTTTGACGAACAAACTTATTGTCTTCTTTTATTACTGAACGTTTGAGGTTCTTGGATTTCGAAGACAGACTTCCTTTGCGAATAAATTCTCGATCTTCATTCAAGAACTTTGTGTCATGCAAAGTTCATGATGCACACAAAAAATAACAACGATAGAAAAACAATTGAATCCATGTTGATGCTACGAATTAATAACGTAAGTTATCCAATCGACTGTTTTTGCTACACGATGATAAATCCCTGGTTGTCCTGGTTGAGCACAGGAGTAACCAGCTGATACGATTCCTATGAGGTACCATCTTCCTGTTTTCTCCAACATTAAAGGACCTCCACTGTCTCCCTGATAAAATATTCCAAAATATAAAAATTCGATTCAATTAAATAAGGAATGGGTTATCTGATTTTATATATATATAATAAATTGTATATATATATTTATCAATTTACTCATATATATATATATATATATATATATATATATATATATATATGAATTCACTCACTTGGCAGGAATCTTTACCACCACTACGATACCCAGCACACATCATCTCATCATAGATGACCACGTTGATACCATTCGAACGATGCCACCTTTCACAAATGCGATTGTCTATCACTGGTACATCAACTGCTTGAAGTGTCTTTGGCCGTAACCTCGAACCTAAAATGTTCAATAAGGATTTTGTTTCTAAAAGGAATAAGTTAGTTCATTCGTTGTACAGGTTGTTCCTAAAATGTACGATCAAATATATATATATATATATATATATATATATATATATATATATATATATATATATGGTCCATGTATTAGAAACAACCTATGTAAATGAGAGATGTTATTGTCTTCCTTAAAGTAAAAGATGGACTTAATAACAACGATAATGATATCGGTATGGTCTACAGCTTGAAGAGCACCCCATCCAGCAGCCCAACCGTATTGACCTAAAAAGTCTTCGTTTTTCTCTGGCAGGCAAATTGGCGAAATGTGTGGCATGTAATGAACCGGTCGATCTAATCTGAGCACTGCTACGTCGAATCTGAGAACAAGTAGATGATTAAAAAAAAAAAAAAAAAAAAAAAGAGAAAAGAGAAACAAAAAGCAAAAAAAATGAACGGAAAGATTACGGACTTTTTTGGGATTACTGATTTGGTATTTACCTATCAGCTTGTGGTGTGAATTTAAAATAAGGATGAACTCGAATCTCTCGGACACCAAAAGTGTAAGCAGGTAGTGATTCGCTCGCTGAATTGACTACGTAATCTCCAAGGGTAACTTGTACCTGACGTGCCGAAGCTCTGATAAACGTAATATAAAAAAAAAGAAGGAAAGAAAAGAAAAAAAAAATATATTTATATATATATAAATGATTAGTATCAAAATGTCAATTTGATTTTATCTATTTGACGTAGGTTCTGTTCTTTTCACTCACTTGGCTACGCAATGACCAGCTGTTACAACATGGTACCGATTGACTAATGTACCACCACATCTACTGGATCCTATTCGTATATAAGCCTAAATAAAAAAGAATATTATTTATTTTTCCTTTTTCTCTTCTTTTTTTTTTAATTTTTAATTTTCAAACACAGTAATATCTGTTGGTAATAAAAGGAAAGTATTTATCGTGTTTTTTAAAGCTGACCTGCCAAGGAAAACTTCCAAAGCCAGCTTCGTCACCACCAACGATTCTTCTTTGAGCTGTTTGCTTCGAAACTGGTATACCGCAATCTGAAATTTTAATTCTATTTTTTTCCCCTACATAAAGACATAATAATCTCTCTCTCTTACACACACACACACACACACACACATTTTTTTGTACTAAATTAATCCTATGAAATATAAACTCTTTTTTAGAATAAATATATTGTACATAAATATACATACATACAAAAGTACACAGATAAATTTAATATGTTATACAATCATTTCTATTAATTATATATTTTTGAAAGATTTATTTATTTTAAAAAAAGTTATTTTCGTACTTTTACGTACTTTTTTCTTTTCTTTTTCTTTTTTTAGAATTTTTACGCGAAATTAATTCTTACGTATTTATGTATCTACGAGCAAGAGCCTAATTGCAATATTAGTATCACCGAATTAGACTTGGAGTAAATTCCGCAGAAAGTTTCCCTTTTGTTTTTAAAGATCTTCATTGGTATAATACATCCAAAAGGCATGCAAAAACTATTCGATTTCAACTTTCAATGGTTCATTGATTTAACGATCGTACGATTAGAAAATCGATATCGTGTTTTACAATGAACATGATCGACGATTGTGTAAAGAATATAATTTACTATGTTCGCGGTAAACTATTATTATTATTATTATGTTGTTACTATTATTATATTGTTATTACTTGACTCGTAAGATAGAACGAATCGACGGCTTCAATTGAATCTCGGTTTCTAATTCCTTTATTTTTTCGAACGATCAACGATATGAGCTCGTTCACACAAACTCAATATTTTATTCTGACAAAACAGTGAACCAGTAAAGAACGAGTGATTAGGATTAGAAACGTCGATAAAACTTCAGCTTGTCGGAACTCGTTTTCAAAGTGGCCTCTTTTCAAATGAAAGAATATCGACGAGTCGATCGAAAGTGGAAGAAGGAGAAAGTGAATAGAAGTAAAAGGTGCACGTATACAGGTATGCACGTAAGTATAAACTTGACCAACGAAAAACATGCAAATTAATATTATTCTATAATTGTCGGAGGATAGAAGATTCAACGATAAGAAAAGTGAACGAAGAAGAAGAATCAAATGTACATACATACATACATACATACATGCATGCACACATAGATAGATACGTACGATATAAAGAAAGAGAGAAAGAAGAAATTAGAATAGAACGAATAGATACATGAGTATACAACGTAGAGTGAAAATCGAAAAAAAGAATCATTTATTATTCGAAGAGAATCGATCGATATGATCGATGAGTTATGATCAACAATGAAAGAAGAAATTAATGGGAAATAAGAGAAATAAAAATAGAAAAAGTAAAAGCAAAAAAAGGGCGAAGGGGAAAGAATAATGAATGTGCTTGAGATCAAAGTGCTCGAATGATCTTAATTGAATTTTTTTTATTCCTTTTTTTACCGAAGCCTAAGAGATACGATGAAGTTGGTGGCATGCTTTTTTATGGGGAGTAGGACTTACGATCGTCATTGGTAGCGTCCGTGTATGTATCCAGCGGAAGCGGTTGAGATTGATCTCGAGGCGTCTCGAGGAAGTTAGAATCGGAGATAGCTTTAGGATCTTTTCGGTGACAACAAGCGAACATAATGCCACCGCAACTGCCGTCCAATAAGCCAGCGGACATCCAGCACATTAGAAAAAATTCACAGGTTCGTCCGTCGGAGCACAAAGTATCGTCGCCCTTCCAAAGCGGTCTTTTCTCTTGACGCGATTCTGCACAAAATATTGGAAACTTTTCTCTCTTTCTCTCTCTCTCTCTTTTTCTTTCTTTCTCTCTCTCTCTCTCTCTTTCTCTCTCTCCGATCATCCCTCTATCTAGTAAATACATTGAGAAAAAATAAAGCAACCAATTTGATCGTCGATCGTTCGATTACTCCAAGTCTAGACTCTGTGAATCTGCGTAAGATTTCGTGAATACGACTCTCTTTTAAAAGCTACCTAGCGTAAAGCCTGTGTGTTATTACATTCCTCATAAGAGAGTTCACAATGAACGTGTTAGGCTACGTGACAGGATAACGAAGAAATCGTTCGATAGACACAAAGCCGGAAATTGTCAAACAACCGATGCTACTTTCGCTTCTCTCTAAACAATTAATTACCAAGCGCAAATTGTTCATTTCTTTTCCTTTTCATTTTCTTTCTTCTTTTTTTTTTTAATCGACACTATATCTAACTAATTCGATGAACCGTGAAATGATTTTATTACAAACTATGAACCCTACCTGTTTCCAGTCTGGGATAATCTTCTAACGTTTGCTTTCGATGATCTGAAAGAAAAGATCTATGAAACGCTAAAGTAATCTCTTATCAAACGATATTTATTGATCTTACTCACGTAAACCAAGATCAATTTTTTTATTCTAAATAGAAATTACAGAAATCTTCATTATCATTCGAACGTTTTCATTGTTGATAATTCAATATTACGGAATATATTGTAAACTAGGTATTCGAATTATTCATCATGTATGCACCACAAGATGGCGTATGGTATTGAGAAAAAATTATTAACTTTAAGAATCGAAGAAATCAAATCCTTGGAAATCTGTACTTATTAGAAAATCTAGAAAAATTTTTTTTCAATATAAATACTTAGAATCTGAAATTGAAATGACATTGAATAAAAATCATTGTTGTAATAATAATTAAAACAATGTTTGAAAATTTATATGAATTTTCTTTCAACATAAAAACTTGGTATTTCAAATTGAAAGAAAAATTTTTCTTACTTATATTTTAAATTTATTTAATTATTAAATTAATTATTTTTATAATTATAATTTATTTAATTATCGAAATTTGTATTATTTATATTTTTATTTTTATATTATTGATATAACAATAATTAAAAAGATTTTTGAAAGTTTATGAGAATTATATTCCAATATAGAAACCTAGAATTTTGAATTGATATGAAAAGAAATAGAATGAAAATAATAATATACAATTTTAATGTATTTTACGGTGAATGAATTAATGTAACGGAACATATAGAAAGAAACAGTTAATGATTAATACAAAGAAAAATGTTGTTTTACCTCTAACGTCATCCTCAAAGTCAGGCAACTGATTGGATTGAAAGAAAGTCGTAGTTCCTCCACCAGCAGGCGGTAGAAAATCGTTGTCACGGAATATCAACCTCGGAGTTCGATGACCCATCACCGGTCTAGAGTATTCAGAAACGGGACTTCTCCAAAGGGACTTATACTGCCTCCAAGGTGATGAAAATTGTGGTTGGGGTCCAAAACGTGCAGCTGGATACGTACCAACGTTTCTTGGACCAATAGCCGAGCCACTAGATTCATAAACATATCCACCTGGACCACTGGGAAAACGAACGTATCTTCGTTTACGAATTGGATTTAAAATCCGTTCGGTAGTTCGATTATTATCACTTGTATTAGTATGCAACGGAATCATAACGGTATCGATCCTTTCAAGATGGAATTTTTTTGGACGATCAGTGTCTTGGCTGGCCTGGCTCTTCGAAGAGAGTACGAGAACCAGTCCTATGAAAAACCAATGGCACTTCGTCGCCAACCCCATTGTTTGCTTTCTGAAAACAGAGAAAATTAATCCTATATAAAATTTAATTCTATAAAAGATTTGATTTTATAACGATTTTGCTCGGTTATTTGATAAAAATACTTATCGATCGTTTCTTTAAAAAATTTTCAACATAATTTGTAGAATAAAACATATTAATTAATTTTCAGAAAAAGCGTACAATCGTTTCCAATGAGTCATCATGCAGTTGGAAAGTCGATCGAAAAGTTTCGAGAATTAATAGAGAAGACGAAAGGATACTTCCTTCGTACGAAGGACTTAGAGATAGCGAAATCTGGTTTGCGTCACAATTCGAGCCGTAACGAGCGAAAGTAAAGACATTCATTCTTCTTGGTAAACGAAGAGAGAAAGAAAGACAAATAGATAGATAGAGAGAAAGAGAAAGAGAGAGAGACAGAGAGAGAGAGAGAGAGAGAGAGAGAGAGAGAGCTTTGGAGTTGGATCCGGTGTCAGCATCCGTCCCAATCACGAGAGAAGATTATCGTTTGTTGTTGCCAATGTTATCCTGACCCGTGCCAGCCACACTAATCACTAGCGTTGTTCATGGCTAATTTAACGACTTAACAATTATTCCCTCTCGTAATAACGTAACGGAGAAGGCGAGCGAAACGAAATTAGAAAACGGTTCGAGAAAAAATGGCGCCGTAAAGAATAAGAATAAGGAAGAAGAAGAAGAAGAAGAAGAAGAAAAGAAATTTTGTGTAATTTTGCGAGTAGAGGAAGCCAATGGAATTTCGTGTAAAAGTGACGATGATGAACGGGACAGGATCGAACGGCCTTGTCGAGTACGATCGACCGGCTTCTGACTCGGTTCGATGTGTTAGTAGGTCATTGGCTCTCCGTTCGCCGCGTGAATCCACCAGAAGTGAAAGTGCACTTCTTGCGTGCACGACAGTGTGAAGTTCACGTTCACGCGGTGCCACCCGCTCGACGGAAGTTACGACTGGCTGAGCACAATTCTCGGACACTCTTCTTCATCTTCTTCTTCTCCTCCTCCTCTTTCTCTTCTTTGTTATCCTTTCTTTTCTTTTTTCATCAAAGAAGACATGGTATAGAACGCGGAGAGAGAGTAGTCGATCGTTATGCAGTAGGTAACGCTTATCAGTATCGTTGTTACCTTAATCGGAGCATCTCTTACAGTTTAACACTAGCATAAATTATTTGGCGAAAGGAGATCTTTCTCTTGATCCAGTTTCTATTGCATTTCAAACGGAAGATCGAGAATTATATTGAATCGAAATAGTACACAATCGAGTAACGTAATAACACAAAGACATTGTTTGAAATTAACTACCTACTAATAATTGTTTGCTAATTCTCAAGTACCAACATAAATAGAATTCATGTAATATATATTATACATGTAGATTTATAAGTATTCGTGTAGATAAATGGAGAAGATATTCGATCGATTGTTTTAAAGAAGATAGAAAGAATATTAGTCGTAGGAAAGTGGAACGAAATATAGAGATATTAAGATTCAAGTAATCATGTTTCTTTCTTCCTTTCTTTCTTTCATTCTTCATTGTGCAACATAAGAAAATACGAATAAAAGACAAGGATATGAGATAAGATAAGACAATCTAGTCTGAAATTTTACTAACGGTACGTTAACTTTAGAACTTCTCTTGCTTATTATCAAGTAGAAATTAATTATGTTGAAATAAAAATTGAACAAAAAGATCATACGAGATGAATGATAAATGATAAATATATCATTCATCTGAAATAGAAATCTATCTCTCTATCAGATAGAAAATAAATTAATTTTACGAAAGATTGAAATGGTTTTGCGTCGATAATTTTTTCTGGAATATATAAAAAGGAAATAAAAAGAAAAAAGAAAAAAAAGACGAAAAAGAGAAAATGAAAGAGAAAAAGAGAACCAAAAAAACGAATGAAAAAAAAAGAATAAATAAATAAACAAAAAAAGCAAAAAGTCAAAGAGGGCTCGAAACTCACGGGACTTTCACCGGTCCCGTGTCTAGCTGGTTCTAACTGGCATATACAACAACACCGAACGAAAGTACCGAGTTTCTTCTCTGACTCGTATCACCACACCAGGACACACCGTGTTCGTGGCACGTAATTGCACCTCTTCGTTTTCCAGCTGTTCGTTGGCGCTTCGTGAAAGCTTCGATATAAGTGGTAACGTTTGCTCGTGCGTGCGCGCACAGACACACACACACATACACACACACATACACAGTTATACCAGTAAACATGTAAACGTATAACTTACATGTTAACATAATATCAACCGTCTTTCCCTTTCCAGAAATAGCCACAACCCCCACACTCACATTTTCAGATCTTTTTTTTTTTTCTTCTTTTTTCTTTTTCCTTTTCTGTTTCTTTTAACCGATGTACTTTTCGAATATCTCTCCAAAGAGGATTCCGAATTCTCTGATCGAACCGGCATCGAGAACGTGATCTGTTACTTTCTCCAACGAGGAACGTGCCTCCTTCACTTTCGCCCAAATCGTGTCTTCGTCTGTCTCCTTGTTGTCTTGTCCCAAAATGAAACTAACGAAAATTTAAGATTCTCACCAAACTTTCTCATAGAACGTAAGAAGAATTTTTTATGTTGTGTTATCTTTTTTCTTTTTTTTTTCTTCACCTCTTTACATTTTCTATTCTCCGTGATAATAATGAGAATATTCTGATCAGGATAAGCTAATATCGTAAATAATCATCTCGTGAGAATCGTTTCAAGTAAAAGTTCTTTATCTTTCTTTCTTTTTCTTTTTTTTTATCCCTTTTTTTCATTAGGTATATTATCTCTCCTTCGTGAAAATAGTTTAGCTTTCTTAACGGTATTTAGATATTCCGAGTCTCTTAAACATTATCGAAATCGTTTCGAATTCCTTCCCTTCTCTAGAGGGCCAGTTTCTTTACTCCAAAGGAACCGGTTCGAAGAAATCACGATGTCAGAGCTTCACTTCTTTCTCGTGGCCTTGAAAGAGTACGCTTCTTCTCGGTCTAATTCGTTGATACCATCTTCGTGACGAATACTTTCCATTGTGTAACGAATTCTTTTCACACGGCATTTGATAGTTTATCTTTTACTGTCATTAAGTACTTACTCATTGGCAAGTAATTAATAATCAAAAATAAATAGGGAGAGAGAGAAAGAAGATATCGACGATTAATAAAGATCGTTGTATTAAGAAGATTGGTAATAAAAACTCTATGCTTTCGCCTTCATAAAAAGGAAAATGTCTTTTATAATCTTCCAAGGTAAAAAAAAAAAAAAAAAAAAAAAGAAAAGAAAAAAAGAAAAGAAAAAAATGGGAGAAAAGAGGAGATAACATTAATAACTTTGTCCAGTCTCTATGACTTTCTCTCATCACGAGTAGTTGTGAATTAGATAATTGAATTTGATCGAGTTTGTGCAACTTGTATACTTATATTAATCAGTTAATACAGATAAAGAACAAGAACATTATAATCAAACATAATCATACATAAAAATGAATGTATTATAATCAAATATTAAACATAGACAAATAATGTATAATAGATAGATATAATTTATTTAAATCAAAGTTTAACAAATCTGATTCAAATAAATAAGATATAAATTTATAATATAATTACTATTACGAATATCGATAAATGCATATGATTCGATATGAATAAAATAATACATATCGCATAGCATCTATGTTATATACATATCACATAGTAACACACAAACACAAAAAATGTGTATATTATACAATTCTATTCCAGATAACTAGCCATCGAAACGAGCGAAGAGTCTATAAAAAAAAAGTCGAAAGTTCGATATGTGTATGTGTATGTATGTATAAATAAATAAATAAATATATATATATATACATCGATGTATATTTCGATATGTATATTTATATATCGATTCGAAATCGGGGAAGATTCAAACTGGTTTCTATTTCCGCGCCACGTTTCTCCATTAAAACCCTTCGTATTCTGTTACGTAAAGGAGGAGTGCCGTTTAGACAATCCGTGTACATACATCGGCCATCGAAACACGCGCATCTTTAATGTGGTACCATCGTAAGCGCTTCGTTTTGGAGAATACCGGAAATACTTTCACTAGCTACGAGACTAGAAACTTAAAAAATGACGAATCGATCGTCGATCGAATTAATCTTCGTTTATTTTCGTTTCTTTACTTTCATCGATTAAAATATCAATCGAATGGAAATTTTCAATAATTTTAATAAAAAAATCTTTTAAATGGCCGATTCCACCTCTTAATTAATACACATGAATATCGTTTAAAGCTTAAAAATCTATCTAATTATTTATAATCTATAATTATAAATAATTTAGGATGTCAATGGAAATCTTACGATGATTTTTCTTAGATCCAATAAAATTGCCTATTCGAGCATTAAAATCACCGATATTCCAAGTTATTTTCGTAGATATCAAATCGTTAGGCTTTCTTTTAAAGCATTAAAACGTAGCTAGATGATCTCACTTTCACTCTAAATATCTTTTAAAAAGTTGAATCCACGAGAAATATAAAGAATAAATATAGAACTTAACGATCCTCGTGCTGTCAAATATGAATTAAATTAAAATTTTTTGAACATTTTTCAAAAATTTCTTTTTGTTCTTGTGAAAATTGTCCACAAATAAATGGACAAATATAACGATAGATAGATAGATAGAAAGGAAAAGAAACAATCAGAGACTTGAGAAAGCGAGGAGGACTCACCGAGTTGGAAGAGATCGAAGTCGATCTTCCGTGCAGCCTACGCGAACCTGACCTTTTCTGGATTTCTCTTGGTCTCTTTCGAGTAGAGAGTCACTCTCGTTAGAGTCACTATAGTATCCAATACTCTTGGAAAATCGAACGAAAGGAGATAAAATTTTCTTTGTAACAATAATCCTTCCTCTTGTTTCCTTCCCTCTTCTTGTTCTTCTTCTTCACCAACACTATCACCACTTACTCTTCTTCTAACTCGATTGGACACGATCATAAGTTAACACATATGTGACACAAGTGACACGATCTTAATTAAGATCGAGCCACATTTCCGATTAATGATCGAATCGATGAGATCACTGGACTTGATCAGAAACACTATGTATTTCGTTGAATGAAAAAAAAAAAAGGAAAAAAAACGAAGAGTGAGAGAAAGAGAGGGATAGAGGAAAAAAATCAAAATCACCGAAAGCACACTTTTTCGACTCTCCCACGCACAATCACATAAAAAAAAATCACGTATTTATGATCGATAGGACGATTTTAATGAAAAAAATAATAAATAAATAAAAAATAAAGTAAAATAAAATAAAATAAAATAAAAAGAAACTAAGAAAAAATTGATATTTTGAGACCCTCGACCTTTAAAGACTTCTTCTCTTTCCTTCCTCAAACTTGATCTTCGTTCTCTTCGTCATCTTTACGATGAATCTTTCCTTCTTATTCCAATTTGAAAAGAAAACAATATTAAAAGAGTAGAAGTGTTTCTCTTAAAGGATCTGTCAAACTAATCAGCGGCAGAGAGATCCGCGCTTGGTCGAGGGCTCATCACCATCTCTATCCTCTCTCGACTGGATGACTCCAGGACTGAAGGCTACACTCTCGTCGTTGCTCGTCGTTGCTCGTCGTTGCCCACCTTTACTCACAACGTGTTGGCTCTCACTTTCTCCAGCCGTGTAGTTTCATTTCGGTAAGCGCACGATAAAACTCTCTCGCATGTCTCCCACCATGAACAACGACAGCAAGACCAGCAACAGTAACATCAGACTCTCGCTTAGTCTCCTTGGTCTCTCTGCTTTGATCTGAACCACGACAAAATTGTCTGCTGGTTTTAAAATCTATCAGGAGATACCACCTCTTTTTCTTATCCTTCTGTACTTATTCTTTTTTTCTCTCTTTAGTGATCCAGGATCTCATCTTTAAAAAAAATGACTACATTCGTTCAAGGAACGATAGCATCCGGTTTGGTCGCACCGACAGTAGAAAAAAAGGGAAAGAAAAAAATGAGAAAGATAGAAAGACAACTCATTTTTGTGGAATGCATGGATGTTACGAGATCAGACTTATATCCAAAGTCTAAGATCATATGACATAACGCGGATTCTTAACACACTACATACCAATAAAGGAGATCTCTATCGATAGTGATCATTTCAATTTATTATTATAGATCCATAATCGTTAATACAGTGACTCGTACGACTTGATTGCCTTTTTACTTGTTTTCAAATTCTCGGTAGATATTGAAAGGAGAATTTTATGAAATTTCCACTATGAGGGGATTTGTGATCTCCATTGGTAAATTATGTGAGAGGATAAGGTTGGCTGAATCATTTTGAATGAAATCAAAAGAAGTAGGCTAATCATAGAAATCTTTGAACAAGTCATTTTCAATTAATCACTTGAATTTATTCATTTTATATACTCTTATGATTTATGATATATATATATATATATATATATATATATATATATATACATGTTCATTATTTGCAATGTTCGTTATTAACAAAAGACGTTACTCGAAAAAATGTCAACAAGAAATCAATGTTACAAATACGAATTTCTACATTGTTAACTCGATTATAACAAGACTATAAGATTTACGCTTTTAACTCATAGTTTATATAAATTTCTCTAACAACAAGGTATCTCCAAGCTATTTCTCGAAACTTTGCCTCGGAAATATTATATTAGGAAGTCGTACTTGCTAATTCCCATCGGAAGTTCCTACACAAAAGTTTATTTTCCACAGAATGCCGGAATTAAACGAACGAACATTTTATTGGGAAAAATGCGTATGCGTAGGATGCATTTGACGTATCCAGATGCACATATATATATATATATATATATATATATATATATATATATATATATATATATATATATATATATATATAATGTGATTTAAAAGTCCGACAAGATATTTGATACTTGAATAATAAACAAATAAATGTCCTAAATGATGACTCAAGTCAACAGTACCGGTTTTGTTGTAACATTTAAGAGAAACGAAATCGTCGAAACTTTCGCAAATAACTTACGAAATTATAATAGCTATTGTTTCGGAATTAACTACTTCTTTTTTTTCCTTTCTTTCTTTCTTTTTTTCCTTTTTTCATTTTTTATTTTTTTACTACTTCTTTTCTTTTTTTTCTTCTTCTTCTTCTTAACATGACCAATTTGTGTCCCGGCAATTATAGAACTACATAAGGCTATTAGTTACGACGACTATTCGTAGCAGAGCAAAGATCCGAGCGTTCTCCTTGTCCGTCCATTGTCCGCTCGAAAAGGAGCATGAAAAGAATGAGAATGAGAGAAATTTCGCGAGACTCTTTCGAAAAGTTACGACTACCTACCAACGCAATATATATACCGAGTTCTTCGTCAACATCGACTCTCGACATCGTTCAATCGATTCGACATGCCATGTATTACGTACAATCAAATTTGCCACACATTTATTTTATTTATTTATTTGTTTTCTTTTTTTTTCACATTTCCGTCCTCCGCCTTGCGATTTCGTTGCAAGTATTATTCATTGAAAGATACAACAAGTGAATTAATTTCCTTACATTCGATGCGTTACATCTTTGTTAAACCATGTAAGAGTAATTCTAATTAATCCTTACAATTATCCAGGTCACTTTTTCTTTTAACTTTATGACATCGCAAATTATATCATTTCAATTATTATATAAAAGTTCCAAAAAAAGAAAAAAAAAAACGAACGGTGAAAGTTCGACAAGAAGGATCAATTGAACAAAAAAAAAAGAAAAAACAAAAAATACAAAAAAGACAAAATACGAAGAAGTAACACGATTTTGGCGGATAGAAATGTCAGTGAAATCAGATAGTATCTCAATATTTGCTTATCCATGGACAAAACGCCTTTTAGTTTCAATTTCATAACTCCGAGAATGACGAACAAAAGTATATATCGATCTTCTTCTTCGACTTATCCTTGAATCACATAACACTTATTAATAATATTCTCTGGAAATATTTCTTGAGTGAGTATTCGTTTTAACACATAATTTATCTACATGTAACGTATTTTAAAATTATTGTATATGTATTGTTTATAAATTCTCAAGCTTTCTAATCACGTTAGAACATTGATTAGAAACGAGAAATAATAATAAGTATTGTATGATAGAAAACAAGAATGTCTATTAATTTATACTTTTATTATGATTAATTTATATTTTTATTATAAAGAAAATTAAAAAGATCTGTAAAAAATTAATTCTTGCTGATTGAATTAATATAATTTTCAAACGTTCATATAACGTTTACAGTATAATTATATATTTATTATTGTTTTTTATTTAAGCAATTTCTTTATATTCGATATTTCATTTAATCAATGATAAAAAGAAATTAGATTTCTATTATATTACATCCGCCCATTGATTTCATTTCTTTTTATACGCGATAAATTATACTCACCGTTTACACGATGCTTTTATACGCGCTCCTTGTTTCGCGCTCGTAATTTAATTTTACATGAACAGAAAATATATTTTTCTTTAATCTTTATTGAATTTACTTTGTTGTCGACAGTGCCTAAACAGATTTTCAGTGAGTTCTTTGACTTTGAGCCAATTAAAAAGAAAAAGTTGATTGTCTAGAAATACGATAACGACAATGAATAATATTTATTTTGATTTTTATACAATCTTATGATATATTTTATGAACCTATGCGGAATAAATATTTTTATAATTTATATATATTAGATTTTCTCTGTAGCATATTTTTTTTTGTACTGGTAGTCTTGATCATTTATGCAATATTTATCCACATAAAAAAAGCTTCATAAAACGAATACTTTGCATAAATCGAGGAATGAATGTTTTATAATAATATTTCTATTAGTATATTAATATTATAATACAATAATATTTTTCTTATATTATTACGATAAATAAATTGTATTTTTATTATATATTTATATGATCGCGATGGCGAATAAAATATAAAAAATAACAAAATAATATATTCATAGATATTCAATTCATCGATACACAAATATATATCTATATCTAGATATAGATATATATAGATATATATTTGCATATCTATATCTGATATCTATATAGATATCAGATATCTATATAAATATCTATATTTGTTATCTATATAGATATTTATACAGATATCTATATGAATGTTGAAATGAATCTATTATTTTGTTATTTTTAATTAAAGAATAATGAAGAGACTTGACCCAAATGTTCCCTCAATTACGTGAATCACATACACATTTGACCTGGGTGGATCATTGCAAAACGAACTAAAACGCGTTCTCGTGTTGCGCGACGATGTTACGCCGATGGAATTGACGAAGAAAGTAAGAGCGTTTCTTGAAGAGGAAGTCCTGGATTTAGGTGACGTTTATATGGGACGGGCGAAAGCGTGTCAAGATAAAATTATATATTCAGAACGTAGACGACACGAGAGATTATTCGCGACTACGACAACCATTTTTTCCTTGTCTCGTTTTATTTTATATATATAAAGAGAGAAAGAGAGAGAGAGAGAGAGAAAGATCATTTTCTTTCAAAATTCTTTCAATTTGTTTTTATTTTCTTCAACTATCCCATTGATACTTTAAATCAATAAGAATATATCTTTTTCTTTCAGCTTTTTCAAATAAGCCAAACAATCTGCCATTGCAATCACGAAAATAGAAAATATGTGCTAATTCTATTCCAAGATGATGAAAGCGAAAGTGAATGACGGTTTTAAATATGCGTAATAAATAACCCTCTCTCTCTCTCTTTCTTTTTCTTTTTCTCTGTCTCTCTTTCTCCTTCTTTTTTCCGTATTCCCTTTTTCTCTTTCTTTCCCTCTCTCTTTATCTCTCTTATACAATAGATGATAGTATGATGATCGTAAATCAGAAATGAAAGAAAAATACATATTTATTAAATAATTTAAATATCTACTAATCTCACAAATATGCACCAATAATTGAACGTTTTCTTCGTTAGGAAGGTGGAGTGATTGCGTTTAGAGGAATGCCATGTAGCTGCAAGGTGCATACAGTAAAAAAACTGGGTCGAAACGGAGAGCGAGATCATCGACGTTCCTTTTATTTATATAGACGCCTCTCTATAGGTCGGCAGGCGTTCGAGTGCTAGAGCAAAACTTTCTCCGTGAACTCGAAAGTCCAATGTCTCTGCGATCGCATATATTTATAATGTATATATGCATGTATATACGTATGATATACATACATATGTAAAACGTTATGTAGGCATCTTGTACGATTAAAAGATCGAGTTCTGAAAATAAGAAACATAAGAAAAAAGAAAAAAAATTAAAAAAAATGGAAAGAATCGCGAATCGCTTTCGAAAAGTATATCTTTTGCATATGTATTATTTACATATGAATTATTTGCATATGTATTATTATTTTAGTTTTTCTATTGAATTTATTTCACATTATTTCACAACATTCATTATTATTTATTTTTTTTTACAGTTAATTAATTAAAATCGTCAACAAGTGAATCAATTGTTTATGTATTGTTCCTTCGTATATCAACAGTTCGTTCAATTACGAAATAAAATTCGAACTATATAATATTTAGTCTTTATTAAATGATCGAACTTGTTAAACAAATGACGTAGGAAACGCGTAATAGGGGCGATAATGCAACAAAATGCTTGAATGTGAAATCGTGAGTTAATGAGAATACATTATTCAAGTCTTCCTAATGATAGAAATAGTCTGGCAACAGGACGAATCTAATTTCTACGATAATTTAGATAATTTCTACTCTAATTTCGAAATTTTCTGATGTCAATCGCAAAAATTCATTATATGTTTGAATTTAAAGTAATTTAGGATATAATCATTGCCATCGTATATATCATATTTCTATACATAGATAATGGAATGATATTTTATTTAATTATCTATAAATATTTTTGAATGAAATTAAAATTTCTTTTCGTCTTTCTTTTCTTTTTTTCTTTTCTTTTCTTATCATTTATCGTTTATACTTTCTGTTTATTCTAGAAAAGCCTCAAATCACCTACGCTATAAAGTTTTCCGATGTCGTATTACCAATGAGTAGATATCCTATGCTATGTACTCATTGAAGAGTCAAATAATAATTGAAGCTACATTCAGACTAATAATTAACGTATGTACAATAGTAACAGCTTTGATACGAGATCCAAAATAGTGAGGTTGACTACGAGTATACATTTATTTTCAGCTATTTGTACTTGGTAATTAAAGTAAACTCATGGTGGTCCTTGTTCCAGACGGACTAAAGAAAATAGAGAGAGATAGAGATAGATAGAGAGAGAGAGAGAGAGAGAGAGAGAGAGAGAGAGAGAGAGAGAGGATTATTAAAATCAAGTTCAATCAAATAGTATCATTATTAAACAACGAAGATCGTATTTGTAAGACAATCATATACTAAAAATATTACTCATATTTTTCTAATTCGAAATGAGAAGGATTAGATGAAAAAAAAAGAGTGTTTTAAATAAAAAAAAAAAAAAAAGAAAAAAATTAGAATAAAATAACGAAAAGCAAAAAATTTCCCTTATGAGAGAGAATCGTGAATGAAAGTTTCCGCGTTCATATGTGATGATTACCATCCGTATGTTCACGGTGACATCACGAAAAGAGTGAAATCTAATCGGTGACCTCGCGTGTTGTCTGTATGTGTACCAACGTCATCCGGTATAATAATCGTCGAACGATCGAATCGTCAAAGGACATCGACTCCGATGTAATGTCGTTAATTTCAGGTTTCAAGTTTTTATCGTAAATATTAATTAACGATCATATATAAGAAATATATATGAGATAAAAAGCCGATTATTTGTTCGACGTGCAATATTAATAGAGAGATATGATTTTATTCGTAAAAATAGATCGTTAAATCGGTGAATATGTATTAATTTAATATAAAATACTGAATAACGAACAAGTTTAAATAGGAATGAAAAAGAAAGAAATTTCTATATACGACTTCCAATATTTCTTTTTAATATTATGCATACATATTTATCTCGTTAAATTTGTTATCCATGAAATTTGATTTCGAGATTGACAAAAGTATGATCATCGATGATTCTACGTTTTTCGTTTCGAAGTATAATGGGTGGACGAAAATCGGGAGACATTTTATGTATATATGTATATATGTATATATGTATATATGTTTATATATATATATATATATATGTTGCTCCCTGTCAAGCGATTCTACTACTATACGTTTAAAGAAGATTTTACTTTCTCGAAAGCACGTGAGTAAGTGAGAACAGGAGCCAGCAAGTTGCTCCTCTTACTTTCTCTCACGGATGCTTCAAAAGTAGGTCCCAAATAGGATTAAGAGTTCCTTGAAGGATTCGGAAAACAATCCCTAATCTTTACTAACCAATTAGGCAAAACAACTTTTCTAAAGATTTTCTCAGTATTGACAATTCTTAAAAGAAAAGAACAGAAAAGAGAAAAAAGGAAAGATAAAAAAAACGAGAGAAAAAACTCTTAAGATAATTTTTGGCATTACAGAAGAAATCTCATTACTAACTTTCTAATTAATATCTAATTAAGACTCTTTCGCA